AAGAATTAAAAATTAACTAATTTTTTTTTCTCACGCAAATAAATTATAAAAATGCGAGCAAAAGTCCAATTCTTTTAAACCTCCGATATAATAATAATTACTAACGTCAATCATGAGCCATCAAGACTTTACACCAAAGAAATTAGTAAAAGATGTTGATCCAACGAAAGTTCAAAAGTTCAAGGAATCATTTAATGGTGAAATCACCAAAGTATTGATGGAAAGTGATGAGGGTTATGAAGCGAGTCTGAAAAGATGGGCCCTAAATGCAGAAAAGAAAGCTGGAATCGTGGTTCAACCCACTTGCGCTGATGACATCGCCAAAACCGTGAATTTTGCTAATCAAAATAATTTGGATTTCGCCGTATGTGGAGGCGGACATTCAACTTCCGGAAGTTCAAGTTCCGAAGGAGGAGTTTTACTAGATATGAGAAAATTGAACAAAGTCAGAGTTGATGTTGAAAAGAAATTGGTTTTTGCTCAGGGAGGAGCAGTATTTGGTGAAGTTGATCAAGAAGCTTGGAAACATGGGTTGGCCATTGTGGGTGGCACGGTTGATCATACCGGAATTGGTGGGTTAACTTTGGGCGGTGGTTTTGGTTTCTTGACAGGTCAATACGGATTGACAATTGATAATTTGATGGGAGCCACGATAATTACCGCGGATGGAAAAGTGAGAGAATTATCTTCCAGCACGAATGAAGATTTATTTTGGGCAATTAAAGGAGCTGGAACCAATTTCGGAGTTATCTATGAATTTATTTTTAAAGCGCACGAACAAAAAGAAGTTTTCGCCGGTCTTTTAATGTTTCCTAGCGATAAAGTGGATAACCTCGTTGAAGCTACCAATTTATGGCATAAAAATCGTAGACCGGATGAAACTGTGAACTTTGTAATTGGTAGACTTCCTCCAGAATTTCCGGTATTTTAACATGTTTCTAGTTTAATAAATATACAACTCACTTTGTTAGATACTGACGTACGTTTTCATTTCTAGCCGTTTATCGCTTTGATATTATTTTCTAATGATCCATCCGAAAAAGTATTTAAAGAAAGGTTTTCAATGTTTTATAAATGTGGAGAACCCATTATGGAACAGGTGATGAGTATGCCATATCCTAAGGTGAATACTTTGGCAAATCCATTCATGACCCATGGAGATCGTAAAGCAATCCGTGGCGCGCATTTTACTCATCTAAGCATCGCAAACGTTCGTGAGGTTTTAGATTCTTACATTAAATTTACTGATGATCCGACGAGGAATCAAACATTTATATCATTTGAATTTTATGATTCCAAGAAATTTGCTTCTGTGACCGCTGATTCCACAGCATTTGCTCATCGTAAACCATTATATAATGCGGTGATAACTCAAAGATGGTTAAATGAACAAGATGATGAAATCATGAACAGTTGGTCGAAGAATATACAAGAGATCATTTATAGGGATGGGGACGGCGAGCAATCCCTTTATTCTAATTTTGAGAGTACCATGGACCATACAGACAATAAGGAAGAAAGGTTGATAAGATATTTTGGTGCGAATTTGGAGAAATTGAAAGAATTAAAAAGAAAGTATGATCCAAATGTATTTTTTAGGAAAGGACTCGTCATTTGGCCGTAGATCGTTGGTATTAAATTATCTTCCCTCCCCTTTTTATTTATTTATTGATGTCAAATCTTTTTTTTTTTTATTGTATCAAATTTACTTGAAGAATAAAGCTATTGTAACATTTTAAGTTTAAATCTTTTCGAATTATCCTGATAAGCCTGATTAATACGCGTAATAAGCGAAAAGTTCAAAAAAAAAAAAAAAATAAAATAAAAAGGTTTTGGAAATCTTTTTTTTAGGTTCTTCCAAATTTATAATGATTCACGTTTCAATTTCGTGATAAGTTAAGTTGTCTTTCTAAATTGTGAAAACGATCTTTCAAAATGAAAGTCTGGAAAAAATAAAGATAAAAAATTATTGAATCTCTATTGTCATGATCTCTTAGTACTTTTTCTTGCAACAATCAGTTAATCAACGAATTAAAAAAAAAGTTTTATGTACTGTATTGATCACCTCTGTAGAATTATTATAATAAAGATAATTTAGACTATTTAAAATATTTATTATTAAAATAAAAGTAAAATCGACCCAATGATTAAATAAAATGAGCCGTCCAAAACTTATACAGTATATCTTACAAAAAAATTTTTTTTTTTTTTTAAAATAAATTTTTTTTGGGTAATTAAAAGTATTTTTCCCTAATTCTCACTTGCTTTGCAGGAAAAATTTGAAAATGACCTTCTACCGTTTCATTCATTCTTCGATAAACTTCTAAATATTTTTCAGGATGAGGATGAATAAAATCAAACCCAACCCACTTCAAGGTATTTCGCTCTTTTGAAAAATCCAAAAAGATTGAAAGATTTGTCTCTTCAATAAAATTCGTAATGATGGTAGATAAAGGCGAACAACATTTAGATAGGTAACCCTTTAAACTTTTAATATCAAAATTAATTAGCTCCAAATATTGCAATTTTTCTAATTGAAGCTTTGAAAATTCATTTTCCAATTCATC